TGCAAGGTGCTTCATAACATAGTCATAAGCCAAAGAATCATATTTCAGGACAGCAGCTACCATATGACAAAAAGAGTTGCTTTTTAACTATAAGAATTTGTTTTATCCCTGTCATGTTAATTGAATATGATGGTAACTTATGCAATTAGAAGATAATTGTGTTTTATAAATGGCCTCCAGATAAATGAGACTGTGTGAGCAATTATTGAGATCATATTTAAAACTTCTATAACTCCTGCAGTTCTTCCTTCCAATGGAATTAGTAACTTGAGATTTTATCATGTATTAGTAACAAATGCTTTCTATTTTTTTCTTTTTATTGTGGCAAATTAAGCACAACAAAAATGTGTAGTCAACCATTTTATGTATATACTTCAGTGGTGTTAAATACATTTATAATGTTGTTCAGCCATCAACACCACATTTTTATAAATATTTTTATCTTGTAGAACTGAAACTCTATACCCATAAAAACTCCCCTTTCTTTCCTTCCCCTCAACTTCTGACAAGTACCATTCTGCTTTCTGGCTTTATAATTTTGACCTAAGTATCTCATATAAGTGTAACCATATAGTATTTGTCTTTTTGTGATTGGATTATTTTACTGAGCATAAAGTTTTCAAAGTTCATCTGTGCTGTAGTTTGTGTTACAATTTCGTTGCTTTTTAAGGCTGAATAATATTCCTTTTATGTGTATGCTACATTTTGCTTCTCTGTTTATCCATAAAAGGATGCTTGATTTTCCAAAGGTATTGTGAATAATGCAGCTATGAACATGGTTATATAGGAAAATCTGAAACCCTGTTTTTTGTTCTTTTGGCTTTATACTCAGAAGTGGAATTGCTGGATCATGCAGTAACCGCTCCCCCCCCCCCCGCCTTTTTTTTTTTTTTAAAGAAAACATTATACTGTTTGCCATTTTATGTTCCCACCAATACTACACAGTGTTCCAGTTTCTCTGCACACTTGCCAACATTTGTTATTTTATATTTTTAATAGTAGCCATCCTAATAGATGTGAAATGATGACACATTTTTTTTTTTTTACAAAGGAATACAATATTTACCATTCTGTAATTGGTTAATATAATTATACTGGTGCTATTGTTTTTCATGAACTTTATATGCAAGGAAATGTTGATACCTAGACTTCTAAAAAACAACTTTTTTACACTTATTATGTCCCAAAAAAGTTGTTTTGGCTGTATTTCTTGTCTTTATGTGTGGTATTGAGGATTGAACCCAGGGTTGCTTTACCACTGGGCTTACATCCCTGACCCATTTTTTTATTGTTTTAAAATTTGAAACAGGGTCTTGCTAAGTTGCCCATGCTGGCCTCAAATTCACAATCCTTCTACCTCAAATTCTAGTCACTGGAATTACAGTGTTGTGCCACCACACCTGACATTTATGCTGGTTTTAATATTAAACAATGTATCTTTCATTATTCCAGTTTTTAACTTTAGATCACTATTGAATTAATTTGATTAGTGTCTATAAAAGTATCTCAAATCTAACATTTTAAGGTAGAAAAATAGTAATTCTTATCAGTTTACTGTTGTACTACTTTTCTTCTTGCTTTGTGTAAGGTCAATTTTATAATACTGCATATTTTAAATTTAGCATGGGGAAATTATTTATATCAAAAGGACAGTAATATTTATAGCTGTTATTTTAACTTGCCGGAGTGGCAAATGTTGGGTCCCTGTGATCAATTTTAAGTTGGAATGAATGCAAAAATTAGTTTAAATGAGATAGTTTACAAGAAGTTCGTAGCACTGTGGTTAGCACATAGCAAGAGTTCAGTGGTTACCTACCATATTTGTTGTTGGTACAATTATTTTAATTTTTTGTTATAAATTGTCCCATAGTTAACTTGAATTATAATATATTATTCTAATAGTGGTATTGATTTCTTGAGATGGAGGACAGCAAAGGCTACTTGAAAATCACATGTACAAAGTTATGAATACAGTAAATCAGATAGGGAAGTAAATTTTGGTAAGTTGATATATATACATGCAGACATATAGTTAGATAACTGAATGTGTATGTATTAAGTAGAACTCAGTTTATTATTTGTTTCCACAGCTTTATATTCTGTTATATTGTTCTGTGTGTTCTTCTGGATTCCTTTTGTCTACTTCTACTATGAAGAAAAGGATGATGATGATACTAGTAAATGTACTGTAAGTTATCTCTACTTTAGAGGTCTAATTTTAGTTAAAAAAATATTTTCTTGTTTTACAAAGATGATATGACTCCATTTTAGTTTATTCTAGATCAGTGTTGTCTAGTAGAAATATAACATTAATCCCACGTGAAATTTGAAATTTTCTAGTAGCGACATTAAAATAAATAAAAAGAAAATTAATTTTAATTTAACATGGTAGTTAATGTTTCCCTTATTATAATTTCAAAATAGTCATATTATTAATAAAATACTAAATTTTTTTTCACACCAAGCCTTTGAAATTTAGATTACAGCAATTTAACCAGCCACATTGTTCAGTAGCCACATAATGGCTTGTGTCTGTTGTTTTAGAGAAATTCGAAAGTAAACTTTCCTGTGAAAACTGTGTAGTAAATATTTTAGGCTTTGTGTCTCCACTATTCAACTCTGTCATTATAGTGTTAAGTATCCAGAGACGATACTGAATGAACATTTTGTGATGCATTAAAAAAGGAGTCAGGACATGGTTTGCTGACCCTTGTTTTGGGTTATAAGGAAGGAACACTTGCAGGTAGTTCAGACTAAATGACACTGAAAACAGAAACCTGATAAATATAGCACCAGACGTTTCTAAAAGAGCAGACTAGTATCACTTAAGTATTAGCATAAAAATCCCTAGCTATAAATATAATTGCGAGATGCCTTAAAAATATATTGATGATGCTGGATGCGGTAGTGCATGCCTGTAATCCCAGTAGCTGAGGAGGCTGAGGCAGGAGGATTGCAAGTTCAAAGCCAGCCTCAGCAAAAACAAGGTACTAAGCAACTCGGCCGCTGTCTCTAAATAAAAATACAAAATAAGGCTGGAGATATGGCTCAGAGGTTGAGTGCTTCTGAGTTCAATCCCTGGTACCAACCCCCCCCCCCCCACACACACACACATACACATTGATGTTGTATAACCAACTTAGTTCCATCTCTAGATTGCATGGATGGTTAGAATAAAAAATCTACTATTATGTATTAGTTAATAGGACAAGGAAGAAATTGTATTTTGAAAGGAATTTATCAAAATAAAACACTTTTTTAAAATTTAAGGCAGGGAAAACAGTATAATAGGAATAAATACCGAGTTACAGAAATTTGTTTTGTACTTTTTGTTTTATTTAAACACAAAAATATATTAACTCAAAGACCAGCATCATATGCTTAATAATGCCTAAAACCTTAATAGCATTTAGTGTTAAGATTTGGAGCAAGTAAATCAACATGTTATTTACATTTTGCATGGACTGGAGATTAAACTCATGGTTGCACATGCTAAGTGAGCATTCTACCACTGAGCCAAACCCCAGCCTATAAATCAACATTTTAAATGACTTCTAGAGTTACAAAGAATGTGGCATATTAGATGTTTATTTAAAGAGGGTCAAATGATTATTTGCAGATACTATATAACTTCATATTTAAAATGTGTGTAAGGTAAGGTGGCTAGTTACAAATTAAATAAATCTCAGTGAGATAAATGTTGTCATTTTCCCCAACCTTTGTTTGATCTGAGGATTCTCCTTAGTTTTTTCCTTAATTCCCTCTCCCCTCAGGACTGTCTTAGAAATAGCAATGAGAACTTACCATATGAAACATGAATTTAATTTTTTAAAGGTGATTTTTAGAGACTTCATTAGTCTGACACGAAAAATAATGTTCATTCTCAGTGATTTAACTTTGAGAAAATTAACTTTTCTATTCATGTTCATAATGTCTGGCTTTCTGGGGTATTTTGTTGTTGTTGTTCAGTTGTTTGATGTCTGGATTACATTTTGGGTAGCAGGCAAATTAAAACCTTTAAATTTCCACTTCTGATTTTATGTTCTTGTTTAATCCTATATGACCTATATTGCTTAAGGTAGATTATTTAACTTCTCTGTGCCTCGGGTTTCATTTCTCTAAAGTAGGAATGAGAGTACCTTAGAGTTGAGAATTAAATGAGTTAAGATATGTAAAGTTCTTATAATAGTGCTTGGCAGGATATATGTTACATATATATTTAAAGAATATAAATATATAACTATATATAATATTTACGTTTTATGTGTACATATGCTTATCCGCACATGTGTACATTATTTTTTATTATTTTAATCCATTTTGATGATTTGGGAAGGGGTATTGTAGGTTCTGATTGCTGCTTGTTTGGGGGAATATTTTATTATAATTCTGATAATTTTATTAAAGATGCTCACTAGATAATAAACTGCTTTCAGTATTTTGCTTTTACAAGGGCCTAACCATTGAAACGATTTTAAAATCTTGTATATTTTGTAAAGATATAATGATCATTTTTCTTTAAATGTTAAGCTTTTTTCCCAACTGGCAAAATTTTATATTGTTGATTCTAAATGCATATTTGATTTGAAAGTATAATTATACTGTTGTAAAAAATTTTTATATAACAGCTTACTAAATGATATATTTCCCCCCGGCATCTAGCAAATTAAAACAGCACTCAAGTACACTTTGGGATTTGCTGTGATTTGTGCACTTCTTCTTTTAGTTGGGTAAGTCTTAATTTTTTTTATCCTGACAATGGAAATATAATTAGTTGAATAATAATAACAAAATGTTCATTCAGAGAAATCTAGGAAAGCAAAACAAAATGTGAAAAAAGAACAAATCACCATTTATACCACCACTGAACAACATAGCCAAAATCAACATTTTTCTCTGTATTGTCCCACATACACATATTTCATGCTTAGATGATTGCAGGGTGCCTGTCCCCACCTTGCATGCACTCTCCATGTTTCAGTTTTCCAAAAATGTGATTAGTGCTCGCTTCGGCAGCACATATACTAAAATTGGAACGATACAGAGAAGATTAGCATGGCCCCTGTGCAAAAATGTGATTATATTTTATTCATTTCTTGATAATCTATTTGTTACACTATAGTGGGTACCTATTTAGGAAAGTAAGTGTGGGTCCATCAATTTTGTCTGTATTGCAGACCTTTCTTAGTAAAGCAGTTTATTTGAATGATCTTCTAAGGTATGACTATGTAGACATTTATGATGTTTGCAGTTTCTTTTTATTATAAACAACACTGTGGTAAAAATCCTTGTCTCTACATCTTTATAGATTTGACCCAACAGTCAAATCTTTGTCAGTAAGTTCCTTCTTTCGTTGTTCTTCCTTAAGTTTCATAGTAATATCAATATATTTTACATTTTTGTTTAGACATTTAAAATTTGTTCTTGTTAATGGCACACATTTATCTTTGTTAAAATAGGTCTAGATTCTTTTTTTATGTTAGAGATACATTAGGTGCTATTAAGCCTTTAAAATTTTATAATTTGGTGTTACAAATTTCAATAAATAACTTTCAATAAATAAAAAGTTTCATTTATTAAAGGTAATTTGTGCTGAGAATGAAATTGGTCTGTAACTTTTTATAGCTCTAGGAGTTGTTAGATTGCAAGTGTTTTATAGTCTAGTCATGTTTCCAATTCCCTTTGCCTGCCTTTATGTGTCATGAAAAAGAGAACTTATTGAATGGATTTTTTTTTAGCGGTTTTGCTATTTATTTTAGCTACCAAATATACCTTTTAAAATCTTTTTTGGCTTTTAAAGAAAGCCAGCTCTACTTAATGTTAGTTCGCTTTGATAATGTGGAAGTCCCTTGTCTGTAAACTTAAATTATCTAGAACAGGGATCAGCAAACTCTTCATGAGGTACAGATGATAAGCATTTTGGGTTTGCAGTCTGTTTGATCTGTGTGGCTTAACTGTGCTCTCGTAATTCTGAAGTAATCATAGACAATACATAAACACAAGGTATTCCAATAAAACTCTATTTATATAAACACAGGCAGCCAGTAGTTTGGAAATTCCTGACTTAGAACGTGACTGAGAGCCATCAATAAAAATACACATCTTTATAGCAGCCAGAGTAAAAGAGTAGTAAAATAAAGACTAGTAGTGTTTTGGTTACCCAGTGTAGTATTCTTTTCATTACCATATTTGAATGAGCATACATTTAGGTAAAGTGACTAATTAAATTTCTTGAAATTTCCTAGAAGGGGACATGCTATTGTTTCTTTGAATTGGTGTTTATTTGTTTATTTTAGCTGGTAAAATTTGAGATAATTTTATTACAAAGATATAGCCTAGATATAGTATTCCTATAGCTCATACACTTTTGGAGCACTTGTGTGATGGACGCTGTGCTAAGTAGTAGGGCCAAAAACAAAGTCCTAGTCTATTCTCAAGGTTCACCCTGGGAAAACATGCAAATAAATTATTTAAATTATACTGTTTAAGTACTCCGATAATATATATACCAGGTATGATGATGGAGGAACAAGTTCTTACTCTACCTTGTAGACTCGGAAGACCTAAGAGGAACTTCAACTGAGATTTGAAGGAGTGTAAATTGGTTGGAATGTTTGAAGAATGGCATAAAAAGTATGATATGAAGGGAAATACTGGGGAATGATATTGAACGGATTATATATGTGCATGTATGACTATAACAATGAATCCCACTATTTTGTATAATTATAGTGCACCAATAAAAACATGTAAAAATTTTTTTAAAAATATGTGAATTTAATCCTTCTAAGAAAAAAACACACACCTCCCCAAACAAAACATAAAGTATGATGTGATGTTCCAAGTATTCCTGTGAACCAGTGGCAGGACATGACATTAGCCAGGTAGGTAGGCTATGAATCTAATATATAATGTTTAAGAAATTTTGATTTTTATCCTGCTAATCAGTTGAAAGACAATGAAGATGTACATGTTTGTTTATGTGACTGTAAGAAAGTAAATATGTGTGACCTTGCTTTAAAAGTTAAGATACTGTAAAGGGGTTATTTGGAGGTCGGACTGGAGAAATGATACATTAAATAGTAGGTAGGCAGATTAACTACCTGGCCATTGTAATAATTCAGGTGAGAGATGAGGATCAGAGCTAGTATAGTTACAAAGAAAGCAGAAACAGATAAGCCATTTGGAAGATAAATATGACTTGACTTGGTGATTGAATGTAGAAGGTAAAATTCTCATTTTCAATTCTGCTGAAATTCATCATTTCAATTTCATATCTACTGAAATCCATTAGCCTTTTCTTTGTTTTTTTTTTTTTTTTCCTGAAGAAATAATCTGTATTAAGCTAATTCAGTGAGTCAGATTGGGTGTAAAATATTTTTAGTTAGCAATTTTTCATTTTTATTATTTTCAATGACATAAGGGGAAATTATAATCTTACTAGGTTCCAAGTTTTTATTTTGATCTAGTTTTGTGTCTTCAGAAACTGATATGTTTTTATTTACTTTTTGAGAAGAATTGAGATTAAGAAATTATCTTTGCTTCCCCTGCATAAAATCCTACTATAACTCTTGATTACTGTGGTGTCATCACCACTTAGTAAATACATGATAATCTTATTAACTGCTTCTTCCCTCCTTAAAACAGGTGTGTCTATATTACATCTTCATTTGACTTCAATTGCCTTTTTTTTTTTTGTCATGCTGGGTATTGAACCCAGGGCCTTGTGCATGCGAGGCAAGCACTCTACAAACTGAGATATATCCCCAGCCCTCAATTGCCTTTTTATCCATTAGTAAATATTCCTTTTTCTTTATAGATCTTGTATGCAGGGCTGATATTTGGCTAATGAGCAGTGGTTTGTTCTTCCTGATGGTTAAAAGGTTGAAACGCTTCCCTACCGGTTAGCTGCTGTCCTATATTCCTGAGTCTCCTTACCTCACTCTAACCCCACTTAAAGGATAAAGCTTGATTTGTGAAGGTCCTCTAGAATTAAGGCCAGCATCTGTGCTCATTGCATAGTGTCTTTGCCTACCAGTTGTTAAATGCTATGAATATTATTGCTTAGAATTTACATCTATTTAGTTGTAATCATTTTGAATTCTCCTTATGGATGTTTCTCTTAATGTACAATGAGAATAGTTTTGGTTTGTTTCTTAGGTTATAAAATCTAGTGTTAAGGTAATTGACAAATCTGTTTCAAATTTGTGCTTTGGTTTCTGCCTAAAATAATAACTGGTGCTCAAATGTTAATTCTCTGAAGGATTTTTTTTTAAGTAGGTATTTTCCTGAAGTCATTCTGAAAATTTTTTGGACCATATAATTTTTTTAAAAGATTGCTTGATCATATGAGGTTTCTTCTACTCTTCATTAAAGACTTGAACTGCTGAATAGCTTTGCTCAGGAGTTTGAACATGAAAGTGTGTTTGCTAGTAGGATTACTTAATTTTTTTCCCACCACTGTACAGTACCTTTGATTACCTAAAATTGCATGTTCAGACTGAACTTTCTGATTTTAAATGCTAGTTTTAGATATTTGCGAGATTTTTATTTTAATAATATTTTAGATGATGTTTTATACAATGTAATTTTTCCCCCACATTCACACATTGGTTATTTCCAACCAACAAATTTCAGACATACTTTCCGGGATATTTAGAAAAAACTGTCTATATAGAAGTATATAAGCAGTCTTGCTTAGTTTGTATTTCTGTTAATGAAATATTAATACCAAATAAGTTAATAGTATAGACATATAAAATGTAAAAGTTATTTAAAAGTTTCTTCTATCTCACTACAATTATTCCTCTCTTTATTTGATTTTATAACTGGGCAACAAATAATGAACTGCTTTTACATTTATTTTTTGCTCTATATATTTGAGTGGTCACTTTTTTCCCCCTTAAAGTGGTGAGGTTTAAGTCTCTAAGATTAAGACAAGTGTAATAAACTACAGTCAACATGAATAGTTAGAAATTTAAATAACACCCTAATATGTTCTTCCTATTCATCTTTTTATAGAATTGTTAGTAGTACCAAAGAATAAAGGTTTTTAAAATTAAAAGTAAAATTTTAGAATAATGACATTGTTTTACTTGAAATTTTAATCAGAACAAGATACCTTTATATATTCTTAAACTCATCCAGTATTTTCTTTTTTATAAAAGTGGATAGAATTTACATCTTGCTTATAATTAAAATTGGGCTAAGAAGAAGGAAGAATTAGAGTCACTTTTTACCTTTCTGTTTGATTTTCAACATATACTATCTAAGGGATACCCAGCCCATTAATCTCTTGATTACCTTTTGGTTCATGATCTGGGTTCTATAATAAAGTGACCATTTATTTATTTTATTTTCCATTTTCTCAGTCTAAGCTCTTAGAACAATTCCTAGGACACTAGCTCTCTCTGTTATTTCAATGGTTCCCCCTTACCTGTGGACCGAAAAATAAACAGAAACTGATTTTGTTATTTTTATTAAGCACAATATTGGAAGATATAAAGAAAAGAGAACAAAATGAAACCCCCCAATCCCACAATGTTAAATTTACTGTGTATTATGATGTATTTCTTGTCTATTATTTTCAATGCATATAAATATATTGAATTAATTGCATGCCTATAGTTTGTTCTAATTTAATGCAGAAGATCTTCAACTTTTTTTGGGTGATGCACTATTTTGTCCATCTTAAATTTATAGGACTTTAAAAAATATTTTATGGGGCTGGGGGCTCAGTGGTAGAGTGCTTGCTTGTGTGAGTCACTGGGTTCAATTCTCAGCACTGCATATAAATAAATGAATAAAATAAAGGTCCATCAACACTAAAAAATATTTTTAAAAAAATTTTATTTATTATTGTTTTATTTTACTCACCTTTATGGAAGTATAATTGAAAAATAAGCCAAAATAGTTTTAAGTACAAAAATAAAATATATGGGGTTACAAAGGAAGGTAATTTTACTGAATACCGTAATAAAGTTATTAAAACAAATTATGGTAAAATGTATACATAGATAAGAAAATTCTCATACCTCTGTATAAATGGTGCAGATTTATTAGTTATTCAGGGGAAAAGTTGATATTTGTTTCAAAAAATTACTAAAAT